AACTAATACCCAAACCCACTGTCCTCAGTATCCTCCCTGCTGCCCATCTGCCAGACCTTCTGTGGCTTGTGACCACCTCAGCTGTTGTGTAGCCTTTTTTCTTGTCACAGTCCCTCCCAATGTTCAATCTTACACCAGACTGCAACAGGCTGATGGTGACTCTGCAGTCACTTGCCCTGGCCTGGCCACCAAGCAGTGTGGTGGTGTTGCTTGGGGCTGCTATGGTCCCAGGAGCCAGCTGTGTACACCCCACAATGCCAGGCTCGCTCAGGACAGATTCTGCTCGGAAAGGTTCATATATGATCTCTTCCTAGGTGTTACAAGGGGTTGGAGAGGTTGTTCATCTAAACAAATAAATCATTGAGTGCAAAGGGCTCCAGTGTGCGACTCTGAGGGCTCAGACCAGCAAGGTGGTGTGTAAGTATCGCCAGCCCTAAGTGATCACCACCTCCAGCTGGTCACCAGCTCTAGCAATATCTGGATCAGACTGGACTGAGCATCTCGTGAAACTGTGCAGTACTTTGTTCCTCATGGAGAAGGGGAGAAGTAGCTGAGTCTGTGTCTTCTGGAAGATGCCACTGAATTTTACCCCCAGTCAAGCAGGTGGATGGTGTTAAATCTCTGCAGTCGGACCACATGCAAGGAGAGATGATAACTCTAAGAGATGTGATATCCTTTGTACAGCATCTGCAACTCCACTCAGCAGCACCTGATTTTGGTGAGCCACGTGGATGAAGCCAATTTTGAGGGCAGTGCTTGTGCAAACACTGCCAGCCTTTACTTGTCCTCCAGATCAAGCCCCTGCATGCTGTAGCATTGAGAGTTTGACACTTTAATCTCTTGTCTGCCTGGGTTAGTCTCAGGTCATTACCTTTTATTTTCCTGCTGTTCTGGCCATGTGAATTCTGCAGTTTATGGTATTAAAAAAAAAAATTCCCTTTTCAGCTGGTGAGCGTCCAGAGGAGCTGCATGGCAGATTGTCTTGAACTGGAAATGCTCCAGAAAAGGAGCTTAACTGGGGCTTGTGCTCCGACAGCCACTTCTATCAGATTAAAGGGGTTGTAAAACTTTGCTGAAATGGTCATTACAATATTACACAATTTTTTTCTGTGGTTTGGAAGAGATTTGCAGGTTAGATTGAAAATAGTGCTTTGTGATCTGCATGGGTGTTATTTAGGTATAGTAAAAACTGTGGAATGAAAGGGGTCTTAACTCATTCAGCCCCCTTTTTTTTCTTTTTATATTGTATCATGATATGACAGAGCAGGAATGTGAGTCTTTTCTCACCTTGTTTTTCCTCAGAGGACTGATGGGAACTGTAGGTGTGTAAAACAAGCCCCCCTTGCCTTAGGAGGAGACTGAGAACCTTCACGCAGACCTTTTGTCAAAATCTCACATATGACTTGTCTTCTTTTTGAAAGACGGAGGTACCAGGTGTTGATTATCGAATGCAGCAAGGCCAAGCCCTTCAAGCAGCTGCAGCTGCTCATGTCCCAGCCCTTGTGAGACACCAGGTTGAGTGGCGATGCATCCTTCTTCAGTTCTGCATTTTACTGAGAGGCCTATTGTATGAACGTCAATGCAGCTAGTGGGCCCTGTTCTACGTTTATACCCATCACTTTGCCTCCCATCCCATCCTGTTGGGCAGCCACAGCAGAGGGTGGGCATGATGGATGCTCTGTGGTGAGACAGGGACCACAAACCCATCCCTGATCCTGTGATGCTGGCTATGAAGACCTGACACCACCAGGTTCTGCTGTGAAAGGAAGTGATGGATGCCCCAAAACTACAGCAACGACCAAGGTTTATGGTCTTTTAGGTGTTTCTTATTGCTGGTGTTATTGCTCCCAAGAAATTTTGACCTTTGCTTTCTCTAATATTGGTTGGACCTTATGTGTCAGTGAAGTCGGAAGGTTTTACATTTGCAACTAATTTTCTGTGTGATGGGAGCTCAGGACTCGTGTCTATACAGTTTCATGTCTATATGGTTCTGAGCAGAGTGAGACAGCAGGCAGAGAGCTGAGGTCTGTAGGTCTGCTTTTTCATTCTTTCAGAGAAATGAGTAAATATGGAAAAGCCATTTTATCTTCTATGCTACGTTGTTAAATTGCCCTTTCCTTCTTCTCTCTTATATTGAATTCTCAGACAAACCCCTCCCTTGGCAGGTAAAAAGAAGAAATTGCCAGCAGTACACATTGATGAGATGCTTTTCAGTAGTGTAACTGCACAAATAATAGGTTTTTCATTTCAGTGGCTGAAGGGAAAAATTGAAAATACTTTTTGGTTTGGGTCACCCCCTGAAGGAGAATGTTTCTTTTCTTCTTTGATTTCTTTTTCAAAAGCATTGCACGAGACATTGTGGTTTGAGATTACTTACTGCTTTTCATAACTTAAAAAAATAGAAGAAAAAAGAAAATAAAAGCAAACTAGGTCACTTTCAAACCAAAAATGGCATTTGAAAGAACAACAAAAAAAAGTTTTATTTTTTAAATGTCAAAATGGAGCCTTGCTGCTCTTCTCAGAATTTTTTTTTGTTCTCTTTCAGCTAAAACTAATTATATATCCACCTTGAATTTGCCTGAAGTCTCAGTACCTCTTAATTGCACTTCAGGTGAATTTACTACATCAAAAAAACTCCAGTCCAGCTCTGCCTGCACACGTAGTGACCTGTCCTGCTTGCTGCTCAGCAAACACATAGAGACAAGTATTTAATTCTGCTTAATTAAGGTGTTGAGCAAGAGACTGTATGAAATGACCTGTTGCAGGCCTGGCCAACCAGGGAAGCACTGGCACAGTCATGGTTCACGCTGGTGCGAGTTGGCAGTGGGCTGAGGCAGGGCTTGGGCTGTGTCGTACCGGGAGCCATTGGGGCAATCTGTCCACGTGGGGCTGCTGTCCCTTCCTGCAGGCTCTTCCCCCCACCCCACCAGGTGCAGCATCTCCCCCCAATAGGGTGGTAGCTAGAAGGTATCAGTGCTTGGGAAATGCAGTGGCATGGCTCAGCCGTGCTTTGCTTCTCTGTGGAGATAGGGCCCCCTCTTTCTTTACCTCATTTCCCAAGGACATGGTGCTGGTGTGATGGTGCCCCTCCATCAATATCTGCCTGTTCCTCCCAGGAGTGCCTTGAATTAGGGTGACAATATTAAATTACAAAATAATTCCTAGAACAGGTGATGAAGAAAATCAGAGGCTGAGATGACCGGTTGCTAGTGTGGTAGGTCTCATTTGGCTCACCTCACCATGAAAGCAGCTCTACTGGTGCCATTTGGGGTCTTGGTTTGCTTCAGATAGTGCCAGGGAAAGTCCTTGTTGCCACCTCCTTTTCATATCTTACCACAGAGGCAGAAATGTTTTACAGTAACCTGTTGTTACATCCCAACACCGTGGTGTTCTTCCTGATGCTGATGCTAGAAGGACTTTCTTGCCTCCCAGATCCATGTAATCCTGAAGACCCTGGGATGCATTAAATGCCCCTGTGTGCTTACCCCAACAGGGATCATAAAACAATAGAAACATAGAAAGGCTTGGATTGGAAAGTATCTTAAAGATCATCCAGTTCGAACCCCACTGCCATGAGCAGGGATGCCACTCACTAGATCAGGTTGCTCAGGACCCCATCCAGGCCTTGAACACTTCCAGGGATGGGCAGCCACAGCTTCTGTGGGCAACCTCTGCTAGTGCCTTACTACTCTGTGAGTAAAGAATTTCTCCCTAACATCCAATCCAAATCTCTTCTCTTTTAGTTTAAAACCATTCTCTCTTGACCTATCACCATCTGCCCAGGTAAAAAGTCACTCTTTCTCTTTTTTATAAGCCTCTTTTTGGTACAGGGAGGCTGCAACAAGGTGTCCCCAGAGCCTTTTGTTCTCCAGGTTGAACAACCCCTACTCTTTCAGTCTGTCTTCATAAATGAGATGCTCTAGCATGGACCCTCTCCAACAGATCCACATCTTTCTTGTGCCAAAGACCTTAGAGCAGAACACAGCAGAACAGAGCACACACTCTGGTTGGGGTCTCATGAGGGCAGCGTAGAGGGGCAGAATCACCTCCCTCAACCTGCTGGTCACACTGCTTCTGATGCAGCCCAGGATGCAGTTGTCTTGCTGGGCTACAAGCACACACTGTTGGCTCATGTCCAGCTTTTTATCCAAGAGAACCCTCAAGTCCTTTTCTGCAGGGCTGTTCTCAATGAGTTATTCTCCCAGTCTCTACTCATGTCTGGGATTTCCCAGATGCACAGGTCCAAAGAGTTAAGGGAGGAAAAATATCTCCATGTGGATTCCCAAGTGCAGCAAACCTGTAGGTTGCACTGAATGACTGATAGTTGGGAAAATAATTCAGTATCTACACCAGAAAGGAATGTTTTAGGGTAGGGAGCTCCAGCTTAAACTGCTCGATAATCTCCATTGTTCCCTGGTAGCTCATAGCACCACTCCAGGGTTGGGGTAGCTGCGAGAGCCGATGGCCAGCAGTAGCATTGGCTTGTAACGTGTAACTGATCATAACTCCCAGCCTGCAACTCCTGTCCACAGAGGGGCTGGGATGTGGGAGCAAGGACCACCACTCCTGCTCACTCCCTTCGCTGATCAGGACCTGATGGCTGGGCATGTAAAGCCAAGACCCACATCCCTGATAGATGCCCTCATGAAACATCACCCTGCTCAGAAATAAACCCCTATCCCTGCAAGTATCATAATGGATTAGGAATTTCTAAGTGTTGGTCAGACTGATAAGAGAAAATGTAAGAGGTCCAATCATTGTTGGCCTTTTGACACAGCAGGGAGACTTGTCAAGGTGATAAGCTGAGGCTTGGCAGAGTCAGCTACTCCTTGATCCAAAAGTTCCCTGCGAGGCATGTGGATTTTTTCTCTAATTTTTTTATTAATTTTCTTTTTTTTCCTGTAATATTGACATTTTCCACTGTTGAGGTAAGCTTCTCACAGCTGACCATGGTCTAGCAGCATGACAGACACTCAGAGTATCTTCTGGTTATTCCCCAGAGAGAGCAGCAAGATCTTGCAAGCAGATCTTTGGTGCTGTGGATTGGAGATGGACCTTGGTGAAAACTGGAAGCTGGATGAAACAAACTGGTTGTCTCATGGTGGGATCCACCCCTTTTCCAGTGTGAAAGGAGGTAGGATATAATTGCTGATTTTTAATCCACCCGGTGAAAGTGCTGAGAGCCTTCTCAATGTGCTGCTACCATGCACTGTGCTTGCAGCGGTCCCAGAGGTTTTGCTGGGCTGTGTCCAAAGCAAGGCAGTACTAGGTATGAAAGTGGGAAACCTCTGGTCCAGTCACATTGCCACAGGCACTTGATCTGTGGCTTGTTTTCCTTCTCTGAAGTGGCCATTTGCCAGAAAAAAAAAAAGGTCCCACCATCCATCTTTTGGCAAGTTAATACGCCACCTGTGCTGGATGTGACCACCCTCACTCTCCACAAGCAGGACTCTGTAGATGACTGTGGTTGTGGAAGAGTGACAGGAGAGCTGATAAAATGCTCTCTTCTCTCTTCAGTCATATTTGTGTGGGACAATTTAGGATGGCTGCGGGGATACATGCTGTCCCAGCAATGATAAGGGGACTGAGGGCTGTCCTAACTGGTGCTTCCTGTGCAGGACCATTCAAGGTTTCAGCTCACCTCAGCACGGCACAAGACCTCCCAGCTCAAGGCTAGGGTTTATTGCTCTCCAGAAACTGTCAGTCTCAGGAAAGTTCTTTGGGGCAGATACAATGGGAAGTAGCCAGCAGACCTATTTCCTCTACTGATTACTTTCTACCTAATTTCCAGCCAGCTGCTTTTATTTGCTTTTTAATCCCTGTTTGATCATTTGGCAGGAGCAGCCAGAAGTACTCCCTGCTCAGCCCCAGCTCATTTTTATCACCAGAGGTCCTTGTCCCTTGGGCCAGCACAAACTGCCCCTCCATGGGCAAAGCTCCTTTTTTGTCTGGAATGTGTTGTGCCCCGACTAAAACCAAAATAACTACAGCCTTCCAGATGGCAGCACCTTGGGAACGGAAACATTTTGCTTTGGCAAAGTGCTTGCTTATCTCCATCTGTTTCCTTTGGCTTCCTGCTGATAGCCCAGATGCTGGGGAAAGGGGAAAGGGATCATCCAAGATGCGGCATTGCCTGCTTTTCCACAAGAACTGAATTAGAAAAGTAGCTTTATGCTTTTGAACCCATAAAGTAGATTTATGCAGTTGAGTCTCCCCCAGACAAGCACCACTGGGCAGCAACCTTATGATAGCACATCTTCTGCTTCTGCAGGTACCCTGTGCAGGGTGCTCCCAAGGGACCAGCACAGGGATGCTTACTGCAGTCCACCCTTTTCCCCCATTAGAACAATCTCTGCTTCTGTTATTTCTTATAAATCTTTGCTATGTGCGTGGTCTGTGTTACTGTTTATAGAAGTAGTGGTCAAATACCTGTTGAATGCAGAATTGCACTGTGCTTGTGTGTGTAAAGGCAGATGATGGCAGAGTCACTGCCACCAGGAGTTTATAAAAATCCAAAACAGTCGAATGTAGATATATGTTGGCTGTTGGTGTATGCAGCCCATTGCTCTCCTAAACTAGTGGCTTACAGCTTTTTCTAACTGGTGGGCCTAAGATCATTTTATAGCATGGGGCAATAACTCTTAAGTAAAAATTGCTGTATGGTATATGCACCTTTTCTTCTTAAACATTCTCCTGGAACCCCTAGGAACATAGGGGTCCACAGATTCCAGACCAAAAGATTTTTAAATCTGGTCCATGCATTGAAAAAATGTCATAAACCATAAAGGAGAAAAAATCCTGAAACATCAACCCCCCAAAAATCAACAGAAAAGACCCCACCCTCTGCAATTTTAATTTTTTTTTATTTGCATTGAGTTTTTGCAATTTAGCATAATTTTTCACATGGAAAGAAATGTTTGAAAATAACAAATTTCCCACCAACTCCAAGGTACAAATGGCATTCTACACTTGGCCACATATTCCTCTGTGGCTGCAGATCTTTCTGGCAGTGAGAGATCAGTGTGTGCTGTTCTCTGCAGCTGAGAGCAGACAAGAATGAGTAGGCTCATTATGGGATTGGTTTGGGATCCAAAATAATCTTGTACAAGCTTTTGGTGAGAAATGTCACCAGCTCAGGGCTTTTCAGAGCCCGTGGTCTAACCTGCCACAGGCACTGAGTTACAGCAGTGCTATTATCAGATGACTCAAGGGTTTGCTCAGCCTCTGAAAAATTCTGGCCAGGGCATTTTCCTGTGCCTGCTGGTTAAACCTGCTCCAGCTGCTGTTGTTGGAGTAGACTGTAGCATGCAGGAAAGCTTTACTGTGGGCAGAATGCTCCTGGCCATGCCCTGAGCGCCAGATGAACTAGAGAAAGGGAGCAGAGAGCTGTGGCATGGCAAAAAGAGGAGCACTGCTGGGGGATCCTACTGAGGGCAGAGGTGGGGCAGAGGAGCTCTTGCTCTTCAGTGATGCTGGAAAAGGCATAAGGGTTCTTCCTGACAAGTCTCTGTCTTGACCTGATTCTGCAGTTTTTCAATAACAGATTTAAAAGAAAACCCACAACACACACATGGAAGCTGTCAGGGTAACCGGAAGCAGGCTGAGCTTATCTGCAGTGTGATTAAAACAGTGTTTTCACCCCAGCTCTCCCCATCTATCTCTCAGCTGACCTTTCTGAACATTTGTTCTTCTTCCCTCAGACAATGATCTCTCCGAAGGTGGTCCAGCCCTCTTTGCTCTGGATCAGCTGGGTAAGTCCATACATGATACATTTTCCTCTCTCTGTTTTTTTCTATGTTGAGTAATTAGAAGATGACTTAAACAGGGCAGCTGCTGAATGCTTTTTGCTGCATAAATTTATCAGCACTGGTGCCTCCTTTCTGTGTTGCTTTTGAATGTCATCCATCAGAGGGATGGAACAGCTCAATGCTAGATATGTTTAATACCTTTCTGCATTAAATTGATGCAGGGTTTTTTCCCCTGGGAAAAAAGCTGTCACCTTTCTGATGCAGAGCACTATAGGATGGTGCTGCTTCTTTTCTGGGGGTTTGAGCTTAGCCCGTAGCTGGCACTGGAGCTTCTGTGACTTTCTGGCACCTTGCAAAATGATGAGGGATTTTTTTAACCCCAGGAAGCAGAAGTAGAGGTGTGCAAAGCAAGAGTGAAGACAAGACATTCAGGGAGAAAACAACCTCAGATGGGCAAGGGAAGCTGAAGTCTTCAGAGGTGAATCCATGGTAGAACCCCACCTGGCAGTGATCTCCATTTAACCCCAGGGCCAAAGTCAAAAGATTTTTCAGGATATGTTATGGGTGCTTGAGGTAAGGTAGGGGTGAGGACTTGAACTGCAGGATGGGAAGCTTCTGAAGGATGGCTTCTGGCCACGCAGCCGTGGAATTCTGATGTGCAAGGAAAAGGCAAAGTCACAGAACCACAGAATGTGTAAGGTTGGAATGGATCAGAGTGGAGTCATCTAGTCCAACCTTCCTGCTCAAGAACAATCAATTGCACAGGATTGCATCTAGATGGTATGGAATATCTTCAGGGAGGGAGACTCTGCAACCTCTCTGGGCAGTCTGTTCCAGTGCTCAGTCACCAGCACAGTAAAGAGGATCTTCCTCATGTTCAGGTGGAACTTTCTGTACATAGTTTCCACCCATTGCCTCTAGTCCTATTGTTTGGCACCACTGAAAAGAGCCTGGTTCCATCCTCTTGATACTCTCCCTTCAGATCCTTCTAGGCATCAATGAGGTTCCCCCCTCAGTCTTCTTGAGGCTGAACAGGTCCAGCTCCTTCAGCCAGTCCTTGTAAGAGAGATGCCCCAGATTCTTAATCCTCTTCATAGCCCTCAAATGGACCTGCTCCGGGAGCTCCATGTCTCTCTTGTACTGAGTAGTCCAGAACCAGACAAGCCCCCAGGCCCTCCTGAGAAAATTGGTAAGGCTGGAGATGGAGCAGCCTGGTGGGACCACTGTGGCACACCACAATGTCCATCACCATAATGTGACCAAGCACTAGCCCTTCCTACCAAGGAAAAGACACCTTCTGCTTCACTTTCAGGGCAATGAATTCTCCATACTTGAAGATATTCCAGAGCTGTCTGGAGATGGACCTGGGAAACGGGGTCTAGGCGGCCCTGCTTGATCAGGGGGTTGGACCAGGTGAACTCCAGAGGTCCGGGCTAACCTCAACCCATCTGTGATACCGTGACTTCCCTATCACTCTTGAAACCCACTTTGTTCCCAGTAAAGATGATCCACATGCACCCACTGGGACGCTCACCACATATGACACTGGTGGAAACTTGGGATAGGAGGGTAAAACTGCAGGAGCCCAGAGAGTGATTTTTATTGTGTATAACTATCTCCAATGTCTATTTCTGTTGCTAGGAGACAGATTCTTGAAAGAAAATCCTATAAATACAAAAACCGCATGATGCCTCACTGGTGCTAGAATGGGTGGCACATCCTGTGTTGTCCTAACTGGCAGTTCCGTACACTTGATAGTATTTTAAAGGAGTCTGTGTGAACTCTCTCCACTTGGTGTCAGGATAGAGACTGCTCTGACACGCATTCACCCAGAGGAGTGTCTTTACAGGGAATGGGAATAAAACCAAGAGCCTTCCCTTGGGCACCTCATTCATTACCCGACTGTGGTTAAAACAAGTCAAGTAACTTTAAAATGCATTTTCTGTGACAGAACTTACACCAGCTCCTTTTTTTTCTCTTGATCTTCCTTGTCTTATCCCTTGAGCAGTCCCTTTCCTCAGTGACATGTGTTCATTTCTCCTAACCTTGACAAACCCTCCAGGTCTTAGCAAACATATTTAGTGACAAATCAAGATTTGGTTGATTTTAATTGAGTAGCAAATAAATGCAGTAGCAGCTAGACAGATGATTTAGATGTACAAAATGAGGTGACCCCTGGTCAAGGGGCAGGACCCTGGAGGGGTAGGGATCAGAGCTGACACATGGGACAACTGGTTGCTGGCATCCTCCTTGTGTTAACAGGGAAACAGTCTGTGCCATGCAGTATGATCCATTGCCTTCTGAGGTGGTGGTTGGCATCTCCCAGGGCTTCTGCACAGCCCTGCTCCCATCTGAGGGGCAGGAGGATCTCCTCAGACACCACTTTCCTCTGCTCAGCAATTTAGATATCCCTCAATCTGGAAAAGATTATTCAAACCAGTGTTTGTATCACCTTACATTTCCACTCTGCTTTCCAAACATAGCACAAGATGTGATTTCTCCATCCAAGGTAGACAAGACAGATAAAGGATGTGAGATAGCAGAACAAGTAATGGAAAACTGATCTCTCCACTTGCCTCCCTCCCAGCTGGTGAGTTTTCAGCTGGATTAATCTCCCTGACCCAAGTCAGGCGCAGCTGACTAGTCTGTGGTGCCAGGCAAGCCAGGCAGTAAGAGCAAGCACATTTTGGAGGGGAAGAAGACAATGCCACCCTAGTAGCAGCTTGGATTTATGCTGTGTTGAAATGATTGTGTAGTCAGAGAATACCAGGTCAAAAATATTCACACTTGGTCAAACCAGCCACCTGAGCAACAGGAGTAGAGGAGCAGAGAATAAAGCAGTATTATAATAACAACATCTGGAGACAAAACATCAATATTGTAAGAAAGGATCATCGGGATAAAAATCACAGAAAGGCAGGTCTGAGCAGGACTTCAGGAAGACAGCTGCACTCCCCTCCTGCCTGAAGGCAGGGCTAGTGCCTCTTGTTCATTCATCACCTTGTGCGGAAGACCAACCTGTCCTTGTCCTAGCAGCCCTCCCAGGCAAGCCACTCCAGTGCTTCACTGCACTGGAAGCATTTCCTCAGTGTCTAAATAGATTTCTGTAATTTAAGCCAAAGGCAGGAGTAAGCAGAGAAAAGGCCTTCCACGGGTCATACTGAGGGTTTCTTGCCTACTTTGGAGGGACTGAAAGGGAATCCAATGGAGGATCAGTGAATTGTATCCCTTTTTCCTGCTTATGTCTTCCTTGACCTCTAGTCCTGTGTCCAGCTTTCTGGCAGCTTCTCCCAGCTTGCTGTACCCTGCAAATATAAAAAGATGTGCTTGGATTTTGTGTCCTTTATGGAGATGCTGATCGGGACCAGATTCATGAGAGGGCTTTTGTGTCACATCCTACCATGGGTAACTAACCTCTCAGAAAAGTTTTGACCAGTCATGCACCCATCTTTTCATATTTTGTTTTAGTCCAGGTGTTCCTCTCTTGCTTTTAGTGATACCATATGACACGGTATCCCAAGCCTTACTTATACATCAACACATACAGCATCTGCACCTTCTTGCTCATCTGCAAGGTTTATTACCTCATTGCAGAAGATCAGATGAGTCTGTCTAGCTCTGTTCTTGCTGAATTTGTGCAGGATGTTATTCATACTCTCCTTTTCTACATGTTTGCAAAAATTTTGGTAATTCTGAAACTTCCAACGATGGAATTAACAATGACTGAAAAATCACTTCTTGACTCTTCTTTCTGTCCTTGTCTTAAAGACTGGTGCTCTGCTTGCCCTGCCTAACCTTTGGAAACTTCTCTGTGGTCTGCTGCTGTGTAAGTCAGTGCATGGTCCACCTGTACCTTGAGCAGTGAGCACATTTCTGAGATTACCTGGAGAAGTACCAGGTAGGGAGGCAAAGGGGACTGAGGGAGAGAGCAGCTTCTCCAAAACAGACACTGAACAAACTACAACTGGATGTTGTGGAAAAGAGATACTTGAAGGAAGATACAGCAGAAGTACAAGAGATATGAATGATATAGAAGTAAATAAGTGCAAGAGAGATGATATAGAAGTAAATAAGTGCAAGAGAGATATGGGCATAATGGAGATAGTCTAGCAAAGAGCCACAAGGATGGTGAGGGGACTGGGACACCTCTCCTTGGAAAAGGCTGAAAGATCAGGGTCTCATCAGCATAGAGAAGGGATGGCTCATCAATGTCTATAAATAACTTTCAGGGAGGTTGTAAAGAGGTCAGGATCAGACTCTTTTCCATGGTGTCCAGTGCTAGGACCAGAGGCAAAAGGCACAAACAGAAACACAGGATGTTCCCTTTGAACATCAGGGAACACTTTTTTACTGTAAGCGTGACCAAGCACTGGCACGGGTTGCCCAGGGAGGTTGTGGACTCTATTCTTGGAGATATTCCAAAGCCGCCTGGACATAGTCCTGGGAAACAGGCTCTAGGTGGCCCTGCTTGAGCAGGAGGGTTAGACCAGATGACCTCCAGAGGCCCCTTCTGATCTGAACCAGTCTGAGATTCTGTGGAATAAGGAAAGTACCCAAAGGAAGTACATTTTCATGCAGTGCAAAATTCCATTGTGCAGCTCGCCACCACAGAATGTCCAGGATGCCAAAAGTATGAACGGGCTACAAAGTGATTAGAAAACATTTCAGAAGAAAGGTCTATGAAGGGCTCTCAAATTTGATGATGTGGCTAAAACCTCTGGCTCAGGAAAGGAAACGAGATCATGTACTAGAGGAAACAGCACTTGCAATGTTCCTTGTATTTTCTCTGCAGTCATCTACTGGAGGCCACATCAGACAGAGGACACTAGGAGCTCTTAAACTTTGCAATAATCCAATGTGGTCCTTCTTGTATTTCCTTAGGTCCACGGTGTCCAAGAAGAATCAAAAAACGTACAAACCCATACCTTCTCTTTCTTTCCTTTTTTCATTTGTCTCTCCTTTCCCACAGCTTTGGCTGTGGGATTTCAGAAGATATGAATCAGATGGTGACTGTTGTGTTCCTTTTTTTCTGTGAATCATTAAAACAGAACATTTCACACTTGCTCTGTGGCCCAGCACAGAAATGCTGCATTGTCTCCTTGGCAAATCCTGAGGTGGAATTTCTGGCTGTGGAGAAAGTGATGTCAGGGAGAGAAAAACTCTCCCAACAGGGAAACGTGCAGACTGCTTTTCTGTCTCTCTCTCATGTTTGGCATGTCTTCTCCCCATCTTCCATTCCCTCATCCCTCCCCTCTTTTTCACCTCCTTCCCACACCACTGGCAATTTTTCTGCTTGCTGTTTTAAGATGATTTAACTGAATATCAGAAAAAAAGAAAGAAGAATGATTGAAAAATGCAAGGTGAAGGCCCCCAGCCTTGAGTAGAGTAATGAGAATGTGATGAAATAATAAAGTGGGAGAGGAGGGCATGAACCTCACCCTGCCAAAATCGAGATGGAAATGCTTGTGTAGGAGATGCAATATCTCAGTGGGAACCCCTAGGACCTGCGCCTCACATTTCCCGGCAGCCGACCAGAGGAGGGATTAGCTGGCTGTGCTATTTATATGTTCACCCTCAGCACGGTGAGCCTGCTGGAGGAGGCTCCCCACAATAGCAGCTTGCAGGAAACACTGCTTTGGTGATACTGTGTGCCTGGGGAATAAATACGCCCAGAAATGAAATCCCATTGGATAAATAAAAAGGGAAGGAAAGAGAAGGCCCTGGTCCCTCCCTGTTTGTTCCCACTGCTTTGTAGCCATCCAGCTGTTTCTTTTTCTTTGTTGTCCTGACCTCATCCCATATTGGAGAGAATCCAGAGAGCGAGTGCTCTGCTTAGCTGTCTTCTGCCAGAAACCAAAGAGCTCAAGTTATTAGAGAAAAATGAAAGCTCTTTGGCAGAACTGCAAAAACAGATGTGTAGATATATTTCTGCTGCCTTCAAATACAATGCTACCTGTGAAGAGTGTATCAGAGGAGATCTGATAAATAAACACAGTTGTTGTTGTTGTTGTTGTAGAAATCTTAACGGTGGCTAATAATTTACTAGGATGTGTTTCTTTGGGGCTCCCCGAACCACCAAGTTCACTGGCTTCCAGGTTTCAAATTGCTTAAAAACTTTCTGCAGATGTGGTTTAGAAAGTGCTGCTCCAGCGCTGCAAGAGGATCTGCCTCTGCTCAGTAGTTAGAGATGCTTTAGGGATGGTGAGAGTGGGAGATGTGTCTCAGAGGGGTAGGTGAAGCCTATGAATACTAAGAAGAGATAGGGTATTGTCCACGTGACATAATGGTAAGGGCATCTTTCTTGTCAAAGGCTTTGTGGCTTTTATTTACTAAATTTACCTGGGTAAAAGTTTCTGTGCAGTGTATTTCTTGATTCAGCTCTTGCTGTGGTCTCAGAGTTCGTGCCCTTCCCAGCAGTGGTGTTAACAGGGCCATCAGCCATCATTAAAAGCAGCAGTGACAGCAAGAAGTGGAATTGTGTGCAGGCATTTGGGGTTGCTGCAGTGTCAGGCAGAGCAGGACAATTATTTGTTTGCTTGCAGCATTAGGAATCTGTGGGATTACATGCATGGTTGGCCGCAAATGTAACAAGCATCAATACCCCAATGCACTCGTGGTTTGGGATGGCCACATCCCTTCTGCAGGGCCTCAGGGATCCGGCCCCGAGTCTGTCAGTAGCAACTACTGAGAGATCCCCAGTCAGCAGGTGTTTGGGTTGGTGCAGGGATGCTGAGTGATCCAGGGGGCTGCTAATGGCAGAGCTATAGTGGCACCTGGAAATGCTTCTCCCTTCCCATTCACCTCACCAAAATGCTTGGGAAATCCATGAGAGGAGTTTATTTTCCAAGGCAGGATATAACAGACACGGGATGCATGGATGACGTGTGTCCATAGCTACAGGGAGAAGCAGGAAGGAGGCAGTGAAAAGAGATGGCACTGTCAGCTCCACCCTGCTGACCTGACAACTGGAGTTGTGGTGGCACCTGGCCCTGGTTGAGCAGGTTAGAACCAAAAAGGCTGGAAGAATTAATTTCTTTCCTTCCCCAAATATATTAGAAGAACCACATCAAACAAACAAACAAACAAACAGACGAAGAAATATCAAAATAGTGGAGCTATACCCAAATTGGGGAAACAATATATTTTAATATATAAATAAATAAGCAAATTAATAAATTAATATAAAAATATATTAAAATAATGGAGGTGCAAAGGGGAGAAGCTTGGCTGGTGGTTGCCTTGGCCTCCTCGGCAGACACAGCTCCCCAGATGTTATCAGATGTATCAAATCACAAGAGATTAGGGAAGTCCCTCTCCAACCTGTTGTCCTTTGTGACCACTTATGAGTTTATCAAATCAAAATGGAGTTGAACAGGAAAAAGGATTTTGAAAATCATGTGGAAATACACACCAGGAAATGAATAATATGGGAGAAAATTGAAATTACACTCATTCTTCAGCAGAAAAAAATGATCTTTTCCTTGGAAACGTAACAGCATGGCTCACCAGGGCCTTGCAATGCTACTGAAAGATAAGACAGCAGATAATCCTTTTTCTTGACATATTTGTTTCTCTAGCATTGAAATAATCTCTGATCGCCATGCAGTAGCAGGTGAAAGGTGAGTACAGACTTTGGGGCCAGTATGAGAAACAAAATAAGCCCTTGAACACGCTGGACTCACTTGGCCAAAGGCAGTACAGCCAGATTGTCCCCAGTTCCCCATGACAGAGACTGGGAAGCAGAATAACCAAAATAATGTGTCCCATTTTGCCCAATCTAATGATAAAGTTGGAACATGACAAAAAGTAGCACTTGAATTGCTACTTTGAATGGGGCTCAGACAGCAGCGCCCTCATCCCATTTCATCCACCGCTGTGAACAGGCACCTGACAAGCCAAGGGCAAAATTTCACTTTCAGTAACAGCTGAGCTGGTTCATGGTTCACCTGTGTCTATAAGCAAAGCCAACATATATCTCTTGGGAATTTAGGAGAGGTCAGCTATACAATCTGAAAAATCCAAGGCAAATTCCTCCAGGAGACAGAGATGTCTAATTATCATTAGGTTTTTGCAGAGAATTTAGGCATTCAAAAACCTGAATTTGGGCTTAACTTACTCTCAAATACTCAGGGTATCTGCAGGTGACAAGGGAAACCGAACATTCCTCTCTCATCCAAGTCTGGTACCCTAAGCACTACTAGCCTGTAGTTTTTCCCCTGAATAGGTCAAGGATGCAATAGTTCCCCTTACCCCCTCACTGCAAACAGCAGCATATTTGCAATTCACTGGTCCCCTGCTTAAGTTTAACCCCAGCCTGTAGTAGGTGACCTCAGGGAGACAGTTAATAGATGCGTCAGTTTCAGAGACACCCACAGGGACAGCACCACTTTGGCGTGCCAGCATGGAGGCAGGGGCACATCTGAGGGTGCTCAGCTCACACCTGAAACATCATTCTGGGGTAACTGCTGCCATGGAGATGCACCGCTGAAACATCATTCTGGGGTAACTGCTGCCATGGAGATGCACCGATGCGGGTACTGAGGAACCTGATTTCATCATCAATGTTTTTTCCTCCTTTACTTGTTTCCCATATACTATAGCTTTCCCATGTCTTGCACCTAAGCAAAAGCCAAACTCTGAGCAAAGCTGGGTTTTGAAATTCAAAAAAGCAATGCCTCAGATTGCTGTGATTTATAGCACTCTCCCAGTGCCTGGAGCTGCTAGGAGTCCTCTCTGCATCTATCCAGCCCTGTGGTTATGGTACTGGGCCAGCTCCTGTCTTGCTGTGCCTATTCACAGAGCTGTAGTGGTACTTCCTGTGTTCTTCTTCAGCCTGTTGCTGCATTTCTTTCTACCTGCTTTTATCCCTTTGGCACAGTATTTAGGGGGCAGAAGCCACCATCAGTCCTTGGGAGAAAGAAGTACAAATTGAATGGATAATTCTGGGATCACTGGGCAGCTTGCTGGACTGAAGGATCTTGAAGCACTAAGATGGGGAAACCCAAGCAGCGTCCTGTCAGCACCAGTTGTCCAAAAAGATGCCTACCCTGTGAGGCAGTGCTGGGAAAAGGGTATGGCAGGAGCACCCAACCCAGTCTGTGCCCACACAGCTGCAGGGATGGGAACAAAGTGTGGTGCCAACACCCAAAGAGCTCTCCCTCCATGTTCCCTGCATCAGACCCTTGGCAGCAGGGCTGGAGTGGTCTGAGGAGACAGAGCAGTGGCTTGCTCCAGCCCTAATGAACACATATCCCGTGGAGCTGGGGTGCCAAACTACAAAGACACCTTGAGCTGGCAAATGTCCTGCGTCCCCATTATCGGAGTGCTTGTGTTTGGCATCAGCTGTAAATCCTTTGACACTGAAGGAGATGTGCCCCTGCCGCTCATGTGAACAGGTGTGATGGAGCAGGTGGGCAGCAGGGGAAGGGACTGTGCTCAGGAATGCAGGGTTGGTTTAGGAGGGGAGTACTGCCCCAGTGATATACCGCCCAGTCACTCCTCCAGGCACAGGGAGCAACTGAAGTCCTGGGAGACGAGGAGGATGCCCGGGGTTGATTCACTTGACTGGGGTAACCCCCATCAACTGTCCCGCGAGGGACCAGGGAGCCTGTGGCGGTACAGAGGACGGGATTTAAGTCTCGAGCATCACCAGGCATGAGGCGGGGCCGCCGTGCTGCCACACAAGCTCACCCCGGACGCACTCAGGTGTCTTCAGTGGCTTGTCTGGGGCTGCGGGGCTCCAGCAGAGAGCTCTTGGCCCAGCCTGAGGACCGGAGCTCCCTGCAAGCGCGCCTGCCCCACTGCCTGTCCCGGACAGCCGGCAGGAGGGACCACTGCCCAGGCGAGTGTGAGCAGCCTCCCCGCCCCGCCCCGGGAGTGCCCGGGCCGCCCCCGAGCCCGCCCCCTCGGCTGCGCCCGCCCCCGCCTGTCC